CATGCCTCTCTAAAAATGTGAGTGTAAGCCCATTTCGTTCATACATTGTAAAAAGAGCCCGTAAAAATGATATCTCATGTGGCATTAGATTATCTGATTATAATACTAGCCACATAACATTTCATATAACCTGGGAGTTGATCCAGCTACGACTTTCATCTTAATAAACTACCGTATTGTGAATGGCCGTGCACGAGTGAGCACTCACCTTTACCCAATCTATAAGCACCACTCAGATCTAACAGTTACATGATGAGCTGGCAACAGTTTATCATTAAGTCACAGAGCTGGGAGCACTTCTAGTTAAATCAAAGCCTAACATATGATTAGATTAAATGGTTCAATTCAAAAGCTCATAACACTATTTTTCAATCTATACAGTCTACAATTTCTATTTAACAACATGTGAAAATTATACGATTTTTATTTCTCTATATTTTTATTAATTTCTAAGAGAAATGTACCATTCAATTAAAATTCTCCTCTAAATATTTAAAATAAATACTTGTTGTGAGAGAAATGTACTAGCACAAATTTGGTAACACACTAAATAGTTTCTAATAATCAGAATAGTTTTCAATATAAGGATTAAAACTGAGTCCCTTTCAAATTTAATTTTAAAGACCAGGATATATATCACACATATGGTAATAATTTTACCTTGCAATGGTTTTATTTAGTTTTAGTGTGATCTACAATAGAAACAGATGGTGTAACACCATGTTGATATTGCAGCTTCATAATAATATTTAATATGTCAAATCAAATCAAACTGTGTAGATGGGTAGCAAATCTAAAAATAATGGAATCTTGCGTTGGTAAGATTTGTCGTACGGATGAAAAAAACTCTTTCAACCTGAACGATAACAAGATGAATTTTATGATCATTGTACCTAAACATAAATAACCAAAATGCAATCACTAGCATAGACTCTGTACATCTCATATAAAATACAGTAAAGAAGCTTGCAATCTTTGTGTACTGCAGTGTTTGATACAGTACAGTAGATGGAGGATCAAACAACAAATCTCCCGCACCTCATTAGCACTATCTTATGGCGTAACTATTTTTTGCTAAGGAAGAAAACAAAATTATATTATGTTTTTAATTCTACTCTCATCTGATCAAAAATACAGTTTGTTTAAATTAAATTTATTCTAGAAAAAAAACTAACACAAATAAAAAATCAAAACAAACTAAAATATCACAAAGGGGGACTCCAACATCAAAACTAATCAATTTCCAAGGGATGTCCCAACTAGCAGAAGATGCAATTTAAAAAATTAATTGACTTAAAATAAAAAATTCAAACCATCAGAGCAAGGTATAAAAACTCTCGCCTGAGAATTGTACAATGTGGAATTATGTGTTTCAAAAAATAATAAATTTACGTTGGAAAATTAACATAATAATTACATCAGTGGAAAGGAATAGGCAAGAAATATAATGTTAGCCTGTGGGATTAAACGTCACATTGGTAATGCTTGGCTGTATATACTGGACTTCCGTAGCTACTCAACAACAGTAAATTGACTGATTTATGGTAATTTAATATTAATTAGTACTTAAAGGGAAAGTTCATGTTTTGTGAAAATCTGATCATCAAAAACACATTTAAACTTTTTTGCTTAGGAAATATCAGTAATACCTTCATATTTAAAAAAAGGTCTGTAAATTGTTGAAACTTTTTAGTTTTGATCAGTATATTAGGAATTGAAAACATATTTTATTTTTCTAATAAATGCACTATTCATTAGGGTTTTCAAATTTAAGTATTTTAAAAGAATAAATCAATGTTATGTCAGCTACTGCCAGGAACGTTTATGTGAATCAGTAGCTACTTAAAACCAGATACCATCATGTTATTTTCATTCCTTTTAATATATTCCAAATTCTTAATTTTGAATCAATGGAAGTCTTTAGCATCTTTTTACTACTGCATCTTTCACACTATATTTAGTTGCAATTAATGTTTTTCGAAAATAACAAATTAAACAAGGCCTTCAGCTTTGGAGCTAATAAAATAATAATATAATTCATTACTAATATTTTTACCTTGTACTTGGTACGTGGATGAATACAGTGCATTAAAAAGCTCAACTGATTTAAAATCATACATTCAGATAAAATAAAAGATTTTTAAAATGCAGAGGTTCTGATAATATATCATCAGTGATGCTGCAAAAATCAGCAAAACGCATCTAACTACTGTATTCAATAACTGTGTTGCGATGTTTAGCCATGGGCAATTTGAAAACAACTGAATCAAGTGCCATTAAACAAATGAAATGATCTAGTAAAAATCTTATTCTATGCCTTGATGCCTTTAGCACTCATTTTTATATAGACTCTACAAGATCATATCAAAGTATTTAAAATTATACGCCATTCCTTGTCATCTCTCTATTAAGAAGAAACTCACATGATGCTCTCTTGTCAGTTCATGTCAGTATTTATAATTTTCTGTTAATGGTTTTTCTTGTACTTATATTTGTAAGGTCTTGCCACAAATTGAGGCGCACCGTTGGACAGGTGACGTCATACTATATTGACTCATTGAGATATTCACCAAAATAGGTCAAGTCAAAATGTCAACCAAATTTTGATTCTATTATTAATTTGACACTTATATTTATACAGTAATAGTTTATTTTTTATGCAATTTTTTTTACTATACAAGAGTTCTCTGTAGACATTTTGTACTTATACAGTAGTCTTATTATTTGTACAGTTTATATTTGAGGCTGAGTTTCTCTAAACCTGGTTCTCATACAGGTATACCTTCAAATGCTCAAATCTCTGACTTATTCTGGAAAGCCAATCAAAGACCAAATTATAGACTAGTGATCTACCCACATAATTTCTTATTTCGCAGGCAGCTGAGTCATTTTGTGGTGAGATCTCACATTAATTCTGCATCTTAATCCTTTCTTGTGGCACCCTTCACACAGTATTTCAATTTATTAACACGTAATTTACAATCCCAAGAATAAGAAGAGAAATAATTGTGCTTTTGTATTTATTGGTTGATAATATACAGGTCAAACAAAGTTACGTACGTCATAACACTAAGTATAATCTGTATTTAATACAATAATATAATCTTTGAAAACCTCATAATTGAAATGTTGTTTACTGTAGACTGACACTAATTTACAAGATTATATAAAGGTTATAGGCTATTTGAGGTTATATTTCATAAAGTTGTGTACTAAAACTATATAGACTAATGTAACTTTCGTACCCGTATATAAATTGGAGGAAAATATGTTTACTGTAGCTTCATGAGGTCATTTTTGGATTATCATAAAAAGTAGGGGTCAGAGTTTATAGTACATTTCCATTAACAAAATCAGATAATAAGGTTTCAGATGATTAATCTTAGTTTAATCAGGGAGTGAATTCAAACATTAGAAAAAGAACAATTCATAAAGACCAGCTTTGGGGAGTAAAAAATAAGCAACAGCTACTCAAAATCAGAGAAATTCACAACATGACATATGTTTCACTAATCGTTTTGTTTTATCTGAATTTGTAATACGGTATTAATCAATAAAATTTATCAAGTGATTGAAGGTATTGAATTGTCCAGGCTATTTACGAATGACAGACAAACACACTATCGCTCTCTGCAAAAGCTAAATTAAAGTAAAGGTTATTTTCATTAACATATTATTATGGAATACATGATACAATTTATAAAGTCTTGCATTAAATATATTAACATATTTAATATTATTATTATTATTTCAAAGCTGAATTAAATAATTTTTTAATCATTTTACCTGCATAAAAAGAAAAAAATATTTGATTAGAAAAAGTGAGGATGATAGTAAGACCTATTCAGTTCGGGACACGTAGTGGTAGCTACTGTGTTTTAGCTGACTGATGAACATGAGCTGCTCTCAATGACAGGGAGCTTTCGATTGCACGATAGGACGTACAGTAGAACGTAATGACATCAAATAGAGTCATCTGCGCGTGTAAGAACGTTAAGTTCTTGTTGTCGCATGGATTCTAGGATGCATTATGGGCAAATCACGTTGCAGAGAACGTACAGTAGGATGGTAACATATGAGTGAATTCATTCTAGCATCGTGTGCTGTGCAAATCAAAGCTAATGAACCACCTATGATGACACATGTTAATGCATGAATATACAATAAAAAATTTAATGACCTAGGTCAAATGTTAATTCATTTGTAATGATATACTTCAACTGAATCACCTAAGTTGTCAAGCCAATGTGTGGATTTATATAACAAAATTAAAACCACCTACGTTAAATGTTAATTCATTTGTAATGCATATCAATTAAATTTGCATCAAACGTAGTGTGAATGTACATTCAAAAACACATCAACTGAATCAAATGTTAATTCATAAGATTGTTAATATTACATATATTAACTGAATCACCTGGGTAAAAGGTTAATGGGAAAAACAAAACAAATCAATTTGACAGTATAAAGTCTAATTAGCAACTAGAGCATTCACAGAGTGCATCTCTGCCGTATGCCGCCAGAATACAGTGACAACTATATGCAGTCTGTATATAATAGACAAAAATGCAGCATACCCTCAATGAAATAATGGAATCGCCAGTCATATTCAAGCACATTATTTCCTTAGTACAGCAGAATACCCTCAAGAATATTGTTTTCTTGAGTGCTGCCTGAACATTTGTTGCGATTTCATTTTTTTATGCTTGAGGGTAAAAAATGGAATTTCTGATCCTGACCTTCGACCTTTTTCCCGCAAATTGAAAGATATCTTTCTTTGATTATTATGTACCATTCTACTAAATTTTATGATGATCCATTCATTAGTTTTTGCGTAATCTTGCTGACACACAGACAGAAGACTGACAGACAGACAGCAAGCATTGGCAGAGGTAATTATTGTAATTCTTTGTTTTGTTTTATGTACAGTACAGTACTTGATGACAACTGTAGGAATAGAGATATTGAACACAATTACTTTAGATGGGTAAACTTACCACTCTTCGTCCATATTTGTCGCATATTTTGCCCCACAAAGTCGAGCTAATAAGCATGCCGATGAACACCACAGTTGTTATCATCGCTTCTTGGACGCGGGTAAGATTCCAGACACAGCGTAACTCTGGCGACAAGATACTTAAGATCATCATCTCCATGGCGTCAGCCATCTGCAATAAACATAGTAACAGAGAGGGAAATAATGAAATTATCTCGTCTGAATGTAAATATATTTTCGATAATGAAAATTGGTTATTTTAAAATTTTTATAGATATATTGCTTGTGGTGAAATCTGATAAAAAAAATCCCATTAAATAGCTAGTGACAGGATACTTAACTGAAGCCTCTTGGCACGTCTATCAGTGGCGTATCTAGGAATTTGAAATAGAGGGGGGTCCAGGGAAGGACTCTCAGATGGGGGGGGGGGGCTTCTGAGGTATAAATAGTTATGACATCTTTAGATGGCTGGAATAGCATTCTCAGTTTTTTGGGTTTTTTTTCCATTCTATTTATGTGCTGAGTCATCACTTGCTTTCATCTCCGAATTCTCAGCCGATTCTACCTAAGTGATCAGTTTCGGTGACAAATAAAATGCTGAAACAATTCTATAGATACTAGTGACAGCACCAGTCATCAATAATCTGATCAGAATCCCTAATCAGCATGGTGCTGTCCCGGAAACTGATACTTATCAGATCTACTGTAGAATCGGGTGGCAATTCTCTTCAACATGTCCAAGTACAATAAAAACAACATAGCAATTTGGTTCGAAGCCACATCTCAAGGTTGAGAACTGCTGCTCCACCTGCTCCTATTGTTGACATAGGTTCAAGCAGTATGCTTGACATTGAAATATTTACATGATTTAACTGATATTTAAATGATAATAGCATTACGGTATAACTAATACTTAATAATAATAACCAGAGATTAACACATGTCACTATTACTTTGTCATTACTAAATTTAATCATCTAAACTTTTGCATAATTAATTAACACTGCTAATATAACAGCAAAAAATCAGCACATTTATGTATTTAAAAAATGTATATAAATTAAAATCCCACAATAAAAATTATAACTTATAATTTTAAAAATGAAATACCTTTATAAAAAAAATTAAAATGGTCATTATTTTTAATTAAAATAATAAACTGGCTTAGGATGATATAATAATAATAAGCAATTAATAGAGCTCCGCATAGTACACTATAGGAAAATTCTTATACGAAGGTTAGATTTAGGCTATTTTGTAATTTGTATTGTGTTAGAAGAACTTGTTTGTAATTTTTTAAATTTGTCAAAGAAATAAACATTTTATACAGCCTTAGTAGGAGGAGGCCTCGGCGACTTTCGTTCATTGAGTCACTAAAATAGGTCTAGAATATTCCTATTAAATGTTCAGTTTATTAAGATTATTAGGGTTCATTGATTCAAGGAATTGCTTAATTGTTCATACTTAATATTGAATTTAAAGTAATTACTTTCTTCGGGTTCTAATTAACCTTGTTTTACGAAAGTAATTTTTAATTACAATTAATTTTTATCGCGGTGCACGTTGTTTTCGCAGTGACAAAAAAATGAATTTTTTTGTCTGCACACGAACCTAAAAAAATCAAGCCAAGCATCCACTAATTGAAAAATTAATGGATGGTGGGGAATAGGCAAATAACATTGGGAGTTGCAGTGATGATGTCACGATTGACTTATAATTAATATTATTGGCTTTCAGGCAGGATTATTACTGCGGCACCCTGCATACCATGTGCAGAATGAGGAGTTGCGTATTTTCCCATTACAGCTTTAAAAACTTTTGGGGAGAACCCTGAGCATTATCGTAAATCATGTGATGATAATGGCAGCCATCTTACCCAGCAAAGCCCAGTAAGTCCTGACAATTTGATCTGAAATGGACCAAAACCAATGTTCTCTACTGCTTCATCCACAGTAAAGTGATCTGCATTAAAAAAGAAAAAAAATTAACATTAATGAGAACTATAGCTTATTTTACTACATTTTAAAAAAATGTTATATTCATACCAATTAACAGAGATTAAAACCTCCAATTAAAAGTTGATATCAAATAAATATAGTGCATTGATGCACAAAAAATATAGATTAGATACTGTAAATAAAAATTTTTAATAAACAAATGAAACAATAAATACAAGTTAAAACATCCTAAATGCAAATAATGCACAGTACAATTAACATTTCACATTAACTTGTATTGGGTCTTAAATCTACAAACTCTGTCATTCTGAGAAATTTTATGTAATTTGAAATGCATATAAAATGTTATAGATTCAACAATGACCTTAGAAGTCTGGAACATAAATAATAGTCCATGAACTATGACAACCTTCATATTTTTTTATTCATTATATAAATCTAGGTACAAGTGGATCGACACTTGCAAAAAAGCTAAATGAAATAGAATCCTAGTACTTATGATAATAATAATTTATTTGGATATTCACTTTTGAATCAGTGGCACTCAACCACAGGGGTGGTGCATCCTAACAACAAGAAAAATATAAAAATTACAATCAAAAAGAAAGACAACAAAACAACAAGATAATCAAATTAGCTAAAACTAAAAGAGAAAATATTTCTATTTTCTCTATGACAAGAAGAACATCGTGTTGGGATTCAATATTTCAACATTAATTATGTCATCATTCCTGATGATGACATAATTAATGTTGAAATATTGATTCGACATTAATTATGTCATCATTCCTGATGATGACATAATTAATGTCGAAATATTGATTCGACATTAATTATGTCATCATTCCTGATAAACGAAATATTGAATCCCAACACGATGGCGTGTATTTCAATACTTGGAGTATGTATTATACTTTCTTATCTGAGATTAATCAGTGGACCTTTCAGTTTTAAAGAAGAACATCAGTCTCTAGATGACACGTCTCTCTTCTGCAACAGTCGTACGGAAAAGAGACACCCATCAGCAAGCTTTATTACTGTATGAGGATTAATCACTGGAAGGAACTAGTTTACAAGACAAGACCTTTTTATATATCTGTTTAGTGGAATGGTGGAGCGTTAACGCAGAGCTGCCGCAACCTACAGCAATAATATCGGTGCTGGTTCGAACGGCAGGCCCGCAGGTTCTGGTGGTGCAACAAGTCTTCTCGGATAAGGACTATAAACTGTAGGCCAAATGTACACAATTTGGCCCGTATGCACTTACAAGTACCCAGTACATCCTTTGAGACTAGTATGGGGTTACCCCTGTGTCCTCATCCATACAGCCCCAGTTGTGGACAGACGAGAGCAGCTGGTACTGGTTTACCGGCCAATTAGACATTAAGAGACCCTTAGGGGAGAACAAAGTCACTGTATGAGCTACTGTAGTCTACGCTTTGAGCGCTTTGATTTTCATGAAATAGAGCTATGCTGTGATGTATATACTGTAATAATGGTGATTCTGAATAAAAATAAAATTTTATTTTTGGCAAGTTGGTGCACACTCTGTCATGAAGAATGGAACTTTTAACAAATATATTCCTTACTTTTTGTAAATTTAAAGCATTTATCTCATTATTACACTAATACATTCATCAAGAAAATTTTATTTTTATTTTCTCCTCCACATAAATATAGTTTCATAGTTTCCAAAAATGATTTTGCTAAATAAGAAAACAAAATTTTACTTTCATTTCTTCCACCCTCCTCCGTTTATCTGACGATCTTTAAAAACATAAGTTTGCTAAACAAGGTATTCAAAAAGTCTCAGAAAATTTCTGGAATTTTTAATATTTGAATCCAATCAGGGAGTACCTTGCAGCTTTTTGTACTGTACTAGCATGTTCATACCCAAATAACATGCAAAATGTCACTTTTTTTTAATTAAAAAAAAAAAAAAAAAAAAAAAATTTAAAATGCATCCAGTTTAACACCATAAACCTCATGTTTCCAATCTGTCAGTATATAATATAAAAAATTAGGCTAACACTCTCTTTTTAGTGGATTTTGTAGCATCTTCACCTTCCCTGGTCTTAAATTTGGTAAAATATTATAATTTTTGTTGCACTTTCAATAAGTAATATAAATGTAGTTAATTCAGTCACTATCATAATAGAAAACCAATCTGTAACCATAACTACAACAAATTTAATACTAATTAATATTCAAAATGGAGCTCTTAGTCCAATATATTGAAAACTAGTTTATAATGTTTTATAATACAAGCAACTGTATAAGACTAGTGTACTCTCAACGATCGATATATTAATATATGCTAGCCTTTAGTCCATTTGATTTGTCAGCGTGCATTTAAACCAATAAATATACGTTAGAGAATACATTAAATGAGAGAATCTAAGTAAATCAAATACAAAGTAAACACCCAAAGGAACATATCAGCAAATGACACATTAGATTAGTTTATACTGAAAATTACATAAAGAGCTCATTTTTCAACAAATATGAATTTTGTTTTGCATTACACGTATTCTATAACTATTTCGAACTGTAAGTAGAAACGGTGGCAGTTAAGAATACATTAGAACGGGAGATGCTAATCAGCACTAGCCTAATAATAGTACCAGTCAAAATAGTGTAGTCAACAACATGATGGTAAGGCTTTACACGTAATAATTGTTCCAGGCATCTGTATTTGGGATTTGGAGGGTTAAAAACTCGCACTTTTTTATGCATACAAGTTAGTGGGAAAAAATTGAATTTGTTTTTTTTTCTGATAGAAATTAATGAGACACATGTTTTCACTCTTGAGCCTCATATTCTTTTTCATTTAAATGCTAGTACTGTAGTTAATAGTTTGCTCCTTTTTCAGTATAATTTAGGTTTTGTTTCATTCAAGGAAAGATTTTACCATTAAGTTCCATTTGTACATACTCAGCAATAAATGTCGCATTATGCATATTAGAATTCATAAAATTGAATATAATTATGATATTTTTGTTAAAATGTACTCGCTGCTACTAATTTATTAAATGTTGTTGTTGAACACCATGGAATACAACAAGCAAAACATAGTAAAATTGTGATGCGTATGCTATGGCTTTCATTCCGGTGGAATCTAACAAGGGTAAGCTGTAATTAGTATTCTCACTATCATTTAGTTTTTCCTTCTATGTTTAAATGTAAAAAGGTCAAAAGTTCAAACTTACACGTGGATATTTTATCAAATGTGATTTTTTTTTAATGTTAAGTCAACCTTCATTATACTTGTGATCAATAGGGCCGAAATTTATTATGCTTATGACCTAATAGGCCTATAGTTAACTTGTGTATATTACTCTAATTTATTTTGAGTGGAAAATTTATTATAGTTGTGATCTGTATGACATTTAAGAATGAAAGGTACATTTAAGATCATAAAATCAATCACAAAGAACAACATTATTTTTCTTGTGATCTTTATAATTGATGATAGTTATTAATTAGATTTCGTTATTTGGCCAAAACGTTAATACTTACGATAATTATTACATTTACTACTTGTAAGACGGTCTCAACATTTTCTTAAAATAGTGTCAATGGTCTTACAAAACACATTCTGGTCAATCTGATTACAGACAGACATACAACACAAGATGCTCAATAAATAATATTGTGCAACAGTAATGTTCTTGTGTTGATTCTTTGTTGACATCTGGTTGAGATTAAGTTAAACAATAGTTTTCACAATGGCAACGAAAAATGGGAGCTTTATTTTTGACAACCCACTGTCGAAAGTAAGTGAAAAAATTAAATACCACCATGCTCAATTGATTTTAACTTTAATCTTGTCTGTTCCAAAGCCAAAATAATGCACACGCTGGCTTCATTGCCGAAATACCCTTTCAGACAGAGGAAGCCAGCAACCGTTACAGCAATATTGCAGCAATACTTGAGTGCAAAGTGGTCTAAAGTAAGCCGATATGTTGGCGTATCAACAGTTTCAGACAGAATGCCATGCGTGCTTACCGCAATATTGCAGCTCTGTTTGAAAGGGGCTAGTGGGTAACACCAGTCGAGCTAACTAACTAAGCTGCTCCCTCAGATACCATGTAGGCCTAGGCTAAGGCTTATCTGAATAATTTGAAACTCTAACAATAGTATTTTAAAATAGCCGCTATTTTAGTATTAAATTAATAATGAATAGGCCTAATCGTCAGATTATTTTATGAAGACACTGTAAAACCTACCATCCGATATGTTTCCTGGTACCTCATCAGTCGATCCATTGCCCATATGGGTTAGCCTAGGCTTAGGTTGTCGACTGGCCATATCAACTTCACCTCCAGATCCATCATCACTCCCGCTGCCGCTACGCCGAAATTTAACCACCCTAGAAAACCAAGATGATGCCATCTTCAGCAATAGTTACAGTTTTAATGTATTCTGACCAAAATTATTGACGGTAACTAATCGTCATTTAGCTAATGACTATTTGTGATAAGCAGCACATTTACTGAAAATTATAAATCAATATTATTATCCAACGTAATCCAGCAACGAGTTCACAACATAACACACAGCGTACACAGTGTGACAGTGACCGCCGTATGCTGATGTGTTGCGTGTTTGTAAAAATACACCAAAAACAAGTTTCATTTAGCTGCTTGAAATTAGAGGGCGATATTTAACATAGTCATGACGTCGAAATATAGTTGTATTTCGATACAGTAGGCGCTCTCGCTGGTAATCTTATTGTTATACAGTAATAATATAAAAAAAAAAAAAAAAAAAAAAAAAAATTGCAATTATTGTTGTTACCGTGATTGTTGCTGTCGTCCAAACATTCGCCATCATCAATTTTATTATCTATATCTATATTTATATCTATATATCTATATCTGTATCTATATCTGTATCTATATCTGTATCTATATCTGTATCTATATCTATCTATCTATCTATCTATCTATCTATCTATCTATCTATCTATCTATCTATCTATCTATCTATCTATCTATCTATCTATCTATCTATCTATCTATCTATCTATCTATCTATCTATCTATCTATCTATCTATCTATCTATCTATCTATCTATCTATCTATCTATCTATCTATCTATCTATCTATCTATCTATCTATCTATCTATCTATCTATCTATCTATCTATCTATCTATCTATCTATCTATCTATCTATCTATCTATCTATCTATCTATCTATCTATCTATCTATCTATCTATCTATCTATCTATCTATCTATCTATCTATCTATCTATCTATCTATCTATCTATCTATCTATCTATCTATCTATCTATCTATCTATCTATCTATCTATCTATCTATCTATCTATCTATCTATCTATCTATCTATCTATCTATCTATCTATCTATCTATCTATCTATCTATCTATCTATCTATCTATCTATCTATCTATCTATCTATCTATCTATCTATCTATCTATCTATCTATCTATCTATCTATCTATCTATCTATCTATCTATCTATCTATCTATCTATCTATCTATCTATCTATCTATCTATCTATCTATCTATCTATCTATCTATCTATCTATCTATCTATCTATCTATCTATCTATCTATCTATCTATCTATCTATCTATCTATCTATCTATCTATCTATCTATCTATCTATCAATAAATAAAATAGCAAATGATATACAAATCAAGTTGCTGCTTAGCACTGGGAATATAATGTGTAAATCAAATTGATAATAATACAGTGCTCAAATAGTAAAGGAACATGATGTTATAAATCGTATCAAATAGTTCATCAACGAAAGTTCCTCATTACAGTTGTATGAAAAAAAGAGGCGTCCGGGGGAGAATCGTACCTACAATCTCTCGTTATCTCGGCGAGCCTCATACCGTTTAGACCACAGAGGCCCGTACGATTTAATCACGGAATTCGACCACAAGGAATTCGTAATAGAGGGGCTGAGCGAGGGATATAGATCGAGGAACCAACCCACTATAGGCCCCACCATGGTTGGAGCTGAGACTCGAAAAGCTATGATTACCACCTCTAGATGGCCGGCTACGCTGTCAGACTTTCATACAATTTTATTTTTATCTCCATTTTTTATTTTAAAATTAACGGGGGAGGGGAATCCGATTGGACTTGAAATTTATGTACACTACTTTTTAAAACTGTATTTCATAAATTCGATTTTTTTTTCTAACAGTGGTCTTCGATCTTGTGACACAATCCCACAGACGAGATATTAATTACTAAATATGACAAATAGGCCTATCTATGGCCTACCAATTGAATTATGTTTATGGTATTAATTGATGTGTCTGTCTCCCGTATACCGCTGACACACTAGGTAACACCTCTGTATCTTGTCTGAAAAGATACTGCTTATCCAAGCTAACACGAGTCCAGCTTCCTATGCCATAAGTGTGATATATCAAGTAAATAATGTCGTGTGCCTAGCCGCGTCTCTGATTGTGACGTAGTCACAGGTATTCCTAACACACATAACATTATTACAACATTCATTCTTTATTCACACATTGTCGCATACATCAAGGAGGTATAATTTTTTTTATACCTCCTTGCATACATAAAGTATACTTACGGTTCATACACGTAATCCTGTTTGGAAACCATGATGTCGTCTCATTCCTTTCAGGCCTAGGTTCTTTTTTGTAAAATCAGCAGTTGATTTTTAAAGAGCAATGCGGAATTATTACCATTACAAAAGATTCATTGTGTGGATTATTTTTCCGGTAGCTTAGGGGAAGAGTCGATAAAAGCAGCGGCTGTGCAGTGATCATGAACACTAAATAGTCGATTAAGATCAAACTTCAAGCATGGGCCTACTGAAGAAAGCAGATACAACTGTACTAAAACTACATAACCAAAGTTTGATTAATTAATGTAGTTTAATTATCAACACACCAGTAAATCAACCAGAAGCCTATCGTAAAAATAAAGAAAATGACGAGCATTTTTAACCAATCAATTCATATAGATTTATATAGCGCCAAATACAAATTTTGCTATAGGCCCATTCTTCATTTGGGTTACTGTAAGGATATTTTATGGTCTTTTTCCATTTCTTTTCATTATGTGTAAAGCGCTTAGAAGCAGTGTTTTTTTTTATTAAGAGCTCTATACCAACACATTTAACATTATTATTAATACATACATATTACATATGTATATATATATATATATATATATATATATATATATATATTATTAATATATGTATATATATTATTAATATATGTATATATATATATATATATATATGTGTATATATATATATATATATATATATATATATATATGCATATATATGTATGTATTTATATGTATATACATATATGTATATGTATATGTATGTATAGTCATATCACATTCATTATTGCGAAAACTTGAAAAACAATTCATTTGTTTGGTTTTTTTTTTCAAATAAAGAATACAAGTATTAATAACAAACAAAAAATTGATACAAAACCCTCGAAGGAGAAATCGAACAATGACAGCAGATAGGGCCTCTGTATCATTTAAGCGAGTTTCAACCTGTAAGGAAATCTGTAGTCGTGTCTTTGGCATAGAGCAGTTCTAACACCACGTCACAAGAGCACGTCATAACTTAAGTTAGTAGGTACAGGCCTATGTGTCCTATATTTGAAGTATACAATTCATCAAAAGATTGTTTAGAAAGATACTCACTGATACAAAACAACGGATAAAACATCGAACGAATCTAGGCTCAGAAAACACTACGAGGAGTGTTGTAAGCGTCACAACCGTCTGCAAACACGCACTACTCAAGTCCATTACGCCGTGAATACGAAATAAGGTTACGCCATGATAAATTGATTTTCGTAAATTGGATTTTTGTATTGGTCCTTCGAGTCGAATAAAATATTCCGAGAAACTGTGCGCTGGATAATGGTCGCTAATAGCAAGAAAGCAGACGACAGTAATGGACCAGAAACGTCTTCAAATCGTAGACCTGCTAAAGAGGTTTTTCCTTAGATTGAAAGCATTTATTGAAACAAGAAATTGTTAGAGGCCTAAATGTATGAAAGTTAGTTGAATTTTAAAGTAGGTTATCTTGATGAGCGCCTCATCAGTCATTGAATATTGTAAATCTTGAAATTTAATATTAGGCCTTGAATATAGTCACCGGTGTGTGGCAGACAGCAAATATCATCTACGCGCGCACGCGCAAGCAATAAGATGCTATAATAATAGTATAAGAAACGACTTAAAATCGCTGAAATTTGGCGCATTGTCAGATTAAGGATGTTTGTTTCTATTCAGATTAAATTATATTTATTGAAACAGTAAATAATTATTACAATTGTAAAAAAGTTGACATTTCAGAACGTGTCCGGGATACTGTAAGTATTTAAACGAGCTGCTGTATCGCAAACAAAATTCGCGAACGCGACATATCAGAAGACGCTCATTATGCTGGCCGGTCTAAAATTACAAGTATTGTTCTCATTAATGCGATCAGAGTACAGTATACGGCAGTACCTTACGTCAGCAATAATCAGTCACCGATCAATACAACTAACCTATGACACCAAATAAACTTATATTACTATTACTATTCCAGAGTTTATTCTCTCATTCAAAATTGTCAACTTTCGATGGCATATGAAGTATTGTAGGGTCTCATCGGTTCATTGTTCGTCATTACCACCACCTTGGTGTTTGTCCTCTCTTTTTATTGATTTGAATGAGAATTGTATTTACGAACATTTTAAAATTTATCCTTTGAAGTATGGAAGTAGGCTTATGTATAATACAATTGTTTTGTTTAAAGTTTATACTATTTTACTTATCCAATCCATTTATTTTTTAAATGAAGTAAATGAAATAACATACTGTAGTTGCGTAGAATCGTTATCGTTATTTACCAGTTTTCCAAATTTGTGCGTGAAGCGCGTAACCCGGCGTTCAGTGGCCTCTCACATATAAAAATCCTCATCACTTTACCACCTCAAGGATGACAAATCAAATTGAAATAGTAACGAGTAATCACCTTCGGTACCCTAAGCAATGAGTCGATATCGACTTAATTCGACAATCTAATTTATATTTAAAGGACACAAGACAAACTGATTTTTCTAATGTGTTCTAATCGTTTATTACAAAATATTTCATTTTAATGTGCTCGATTGACACGTGCACACTCAAGAAGAATTACCAAGGTGTCTGTAACAACATGGGTGGAAATAAAATCATACTAAATCAATATTTTTTCATATATTAATACATATACAATCATAAACTACTGTTATTTTACATACAACATCAAAGTGAAACACAAAACACTGATTGGATGGTAACAAAGGAATGAAAAACTGATACTATTGTCAGAACCAGGGGCTGATCCGGTATCGCACAACACTTTCAATACCACTGCCTTTTCTCTCCCGTCTTGCTCCCTTCTTTTCTTTTTTTTTTTTTTTTTAAATTTTTTGAGAAGGGGATCTATTAAACATCCCTCATCCACCCATCCCCCCTCTCCCGTCTTGCTCTCTTCTTTTCTTTTTTTAATTTTTTGAGAAGGGGATCTATTAAACATCCCTCATCCACCCACCCCCCCCCCCTGCAGCACCACTGGAACTGCCCCTGAAACTGAGATATTTAGAAAGCCACCCATTGCTGCAGTATTCGTAAACAAGCACCATTTATCCATCTCAGTCAAAGTTCTCAAGTGACGAATCCCCCAGCCTTTATCCTTGAAAAAAAAAACAAAAAAAATGAAAATCCGCAATAAAGCCAAAAAAATGAAAACCCCCAATAAAGCCTACTTTTGCGAACTCATCGTCTATTTCATCACTCAAACTATTAATGGCACAAACCCACGAAAAGGTGGTTGGTCTATGACAAAGTAACGTACATATATTATTAGCTTATGTGCCTACAGATATATTGTAAAACGTATTACTCTTTGGTTAGATTCACAGTTAATTGTGTAGTACATTCAAAACACTATTCTAAAGCTCTCTCACTTATGTGACAAACACATGTGATTTGACGTTATATGGGTGAGATGTGACATCATCATACCCAATTATGGGCATATCACACAAGTTTGTCATATTAAATTTGATAGTGTGGACATATTTTAATGCTCTTTCCACATCATTTAAGCGCTATGCGACAAATACCTGCGATTTGACCGTACAGTATATGGTCGAGATATGACATCATGATACCAAATATGGGCACCTCACAAATTTGTAGTATTAAAATTGATAGTGTCCACATAGCTTAATGCTCTGTCATCATTTATCAAATTCTTTGACAAATACCTTTGATTTGACTTTTAATGGGTGAGATACATCATCATCATACCAAATATGGGCACATCACACAAATCTGTCATATAGAACTGGAGAAAGCTAAATATATAAACTATCACACTTTACGGGTACATAATACATAGAGGGCCTCCCAAGGGAATGCTGTGTAATTATATCAGCAAAAACGGGGATGGTGGTCACATGGGTGAATATACGTCTATTTCCATATAGATCTACTGCTATAGGGCTTGATTATTTCAATTGCATAGTTCACAATTTTATAGCGGCCACTAAATATACACTGCAGTCAATTCATTGCATAGTTTACAGTTTTAAGAGAATCTGGCTAATACACAAATGTCTTGGATCTATTGCAGTTTTTACGATGCCAGATAGACTAAGATGAGCTAATCTTTACTAAGATCCTATTGTCAAATATGTTTAAGAAAATAATTAATAAACAAATATAATATATTTTAAATATATAAGAATATCGATAATAATAATAATAATAATAATACACTATAAATATTGCATGTGCCACATGTATGCTGCCTTCAGGAGTGTAGTTAGATACATAATGGAAATGATACCAAGTTATTTTTTATCTGATACAGCAGTTCAAAATTGACCATGTTCTACCATGGAGTTCTTATACTACCATAGTTTTAACTTTGAAATTTTCAAATTGTATAATTTACAAAAGAATTTTGTTTTAACTGACAACATGCACCCTAGAGTTTTAACAACCGTATCACCAAAAATTGTAGGTATTGATAAGTTTAAAGAATTACAATTTGTAAGTCCAATATAGCTTTTTGATTGCTCAAAAAAATTATAGGTTGTGAAACTCAGAAAGGAGTATACATTTCTCACTGCTTCTCTGATATTATGTTCTATAATACAGAAAAACAAAAACATATCTCTTTGAGAATACTCTGCATATTTTTTGTGTATACTTATTTAGAATTTACAAAAATCTGGTTGCTAGCCAAAGTTTTGTTCAGTTGGTGGATACTGCCAACATATAAATATAGATATTGCATCAAAGTTAAGAATGTTAAGTACACAGTCTCATTCATAATAATAGATAGTTAATTACAGTATTCATCCTTCTTTACCAAGCCACATTAATATCAATATATTTCTACTAAAGATATGCAACAATAAACCATTTTAAGTCCAAGGCACCTGCCCCGAAGAATCCTTTCTGCTCTCTGGGAGTGTTTTACGATGTAACGTTGTCAGCTGATTGTCGGGTTGAGCCGGTCACCATTATAAATGATCCATTGCGAGGGTCTACATGTTGCATGTCAGAGGAATCATGTTGACCGACGGCCATTGGTGCAGTGTGCACATTAAACTTTTAGCATAAACAAAACTAAAAATGATATTTAATTTAGAAAGACATGGAAGATTTTGAGATGAGTGCATTAAACATCTACAATTTCAGTTGTTTCTATTACTATCATACATACATACCATATTTATGAGAATAATGGCTTCGCTTTTAATAACGCACGTGTGTGCCCCCCCCCCCACACACACACAAATAAACTACCCTTCAGAGCATCATTTGGAATAAAAGCCTCTTTTGAACAAATTCCCTGGAGCATTAATTTTTTCATCAAATAAACGACCACCTAAATGATTGTTAATATAACTAATGGAAGCAACATCATTCTCAACACATTCTTTCAATATTGTACTCCAGCAGAATTACAATTTCTCAAACCTGGTTGGGTAATTATGTGATTAGTCCCACTTTTACAGTGAAATTAAGGGGCATCTATTTTTCATACATACATATACATTTTGCACACAAAAAAATAAATGCCTCCCTCGAATAAGTTCCCCTCAAAAACCCTTTTCAACAATAAATGCCCTGGGCGTTTACAGTATTCAAATAAATATGGCAAGTTAAATAGCAAGTCTCCGAGAAGTTGTACGGATCTCTCAGAAATCAGCACGGTCTGCCACATTCCAGCGAGCAAGCAAAAATTTCCCAGAAAACTAACTCAATTCCTACAAATTCAGAATGTTTAAAAGTTTACTGTATAATTAGCCTAATACCACTGGCCATATTAATTAATTAAAATACTGTAAGAAATAACATTTCTGTTTTTATGTTGAATTTCATTGCAATTTGTGCGATTATCATATACTGTATTTTTAAAATTCAAATATCAATTTTAAGTGCTATGTTATATAAATAATTATTACATCTCTTACTACCCATCTATCTCCCACACATCACTCTGAATTTAATAACTAAATACTTCATTGCTTATTTCAGTAAATTGAAAAAAAAAAAAAAAAATCGGACTTGGGTCTCAACTACGTTGACCTATTCTGCGTTTTAATTCCATCCAAAGCATATTGCGCTCCTTCTGCACTCCCTTTAACAGTCCTCGGTTTTCCAACGCTCTTCGTGAAAGGTACGGAAGGACTTCTTCCACTGGTCCGTATGGTACATATTTGTACACAGAATATCCTGCCTGACCTAGTTATAGAAAGTGTACAAATATAAGTCATCCACACATAAAACGCAGGTATAGATGTAGTATTTAAAAAATAAATCGCAAAAAAATCTCTTGTATTCTTCAAATAGAGTAGGTCTATCACTCTCTTAAGCCAGTCACTTACTGCGTCGTACGACGAATCCACATTTGCTTCTGGCGAGCGATAGACAACGCAACGCCGTCTACTGATTGTCAGTGGCAATCTGAATGGATCCTCATTAAAAAGACGATCCGTTGGAGCCGCGTCTTCGCGTGCGTTCTTTGTTGCGTTGCCGTCGCCGTCGAACACAGTGAGTAACCGGCTTTTCAGTGAAAATTTTCCGCAGATTCAGACCTACAATTTAAATCTATCTACAACACTAATCATAATCATCACATAAAAAAATATACATTAACGTACAAGCTTTTGAACCATGGTCCAATTAAAATGCAGATTGTAATTAATTCATAATTACATTAGCCAATCATGTATCTATATATATGAGAGTCTAAAAAATATTCCCAAATAAGGTCATTATATAGTTTTAAGTGTGTATGATAATGTTGCAATCACTGCATAAATAAACAATTAAACATCTTATTAAAAAATACAAATTTAATGGGTACCACGTGTCAGTAATAAATATATAAATATGTAATAAAATCACAATCAGCAATAAAGTGTAGCAGTCCCATGACAATGTCAGTAAATCATACAGGAACATTCTTGCACATTAAAAATGTAAACATGTTGATCTGTCCATTCTGTGGTTGGTTCTAGTGTAAGATATAGCCTCAATTACATCTAGACATGTCTGTTGATCAATAAAATGATGATGACTTGGAAGAGGAGGAGGAGAACTCAACTTACCTAAGGGGAATGACACTTGATCACACATGCCTAGCAGCTGGCCAAAATAAACAAGCTTGTCATTGGCACCTATTCCCAACTCATTCATTCTATAACGAAATAACATTGAAAACATCAAATATAAGATACATCTCATTTTCAATATTTTTATTAGGCACATAAGAATTTTCATGAGTTTGCAATGATTTCATGACGATAAAATCATTCTGACTCAATGACAAGTCTTAACCAAAAAACACCAGTGCAAATAACCCAGTTACTTTTCCTGACCGGAAGACTTACCCAGCCACATGGTAAGTTTCACAGAGTCCTGTTTGTCCAGTAAAACTTACTGAGCCAGTTTCACAAAGCCAAAATGTCCAGTATGAACAGCGTGACTCGGTGAAACTTCTCGATTAAACTTCACCCGACACGCAAGAATTGTACTCAAAACCCTCCTGGTGCTCTTTTTTTAACCCCAAATTGTGAATAATGATTGGGTCTCCCTATGCATCCAATTGCGCTTTCATCGACAGTTTTATATAATTACTTTAAATGATTATAATGGAACACAATAGTAACAGTAGACTGAACTCACAATTCTACCGCCCTCCTAACTGTATCTTCATTATGGGTTGCAACCATCACATTGATGTTGCCTTGTGATTTAATCATTTTCAAGATATAATCCAGACATTGGAAGTACATCGTGTTGGTACTCTCATAATTTGGATTGATTGGATCCTCGTAGCCTATTTCTCTGGCTCGTTCACGTTCTTGATCCATGTATGCGCCACGGACAAGTTTAGCACCAAAGTGAAAACCCTCCCTCTCTGCTAATGCTAGGTCAACTGCTAAGTTGTTGAAGGTTTCCTAAAAGTGAAAAAAAAAAAAAAAATGCATATTTTATTTATTTGAACTGTATTTCCTGGAAGTCAACTCAATCCCTATTTCAGACAAATATAAGTTAAAAAAAAAAAAATAATAATTTAGTGAACAACAGCAAATAAAAAAAAAGATAATACAACATAAACAAAAAAGAAATTACATAATAAACAGTGGTACAACCATACAAACAATAAATATAACTAAAACATTGTTGAACCATGCAACTACTACTGATAATTTAGGATCCCCCTAACACAGAATCCACACATCTGATATTTTAGCATAACTACATGTTTATGTATGCCATCTTTATTTTCTTTTTTGAAAGTCATTTTACTTGCCATAAAAGCACTACATAAGAGTTTAAATGGGAATTGGCTCTGAAGCTAAAACAACATTACAACGGTTTTTCCAAGCTTAGCAGTGCAAAGCAGTAAAAGTGACATCATTCTCTGAATGGCATATGCACCCCTCTCCCCACCTCCCAGCCCACACCCAAGTGATAATGATGAAAGTATGATACTTGATGCATAATCAATCATTTATACCTTAAGATAACATTGGTAGGTGTTAAATATAACTGGTCTTTTCTTGTTAAAATTTCTCATCAATTCCATTGTAAGTCGGCTGATGGCTGGCTGGAAGTAAGACTGTTCAGCGTCAATCATCAAACGTACATTCTTTTCATCTGCTCTCTGAAAAAGTGGTTGAAATCGTAAATAAGTAAAGATAAGGGAAGGAAAAAACGCAACATAAGAGGTGATATCTTACTTAAAAGAAATTATATTAAAGAATTAAAGATCCTGCTCATAATAACAAAATTGATAATAAAACTAATAATAACGACAAAATTTAAAATAGACACAAAGGAATACAGTAACATCTCCCAATTACGTAACCCTCCGTCCGAACAGGGTTCGTAAATGAGAAATATCGTAATTCAGAGAGTTCGTAAATGGGAGGTTCATAATTGGGAGATGTTACTGTACTAGGAGTTAATTACTTATAATTATACTTACTTTAGCTAGCATGTTGATTCGCCGCAGCATAGATTTCATCTGTGTTTCTTCATCAGTTGATAATGAAATCAATAATGGTTCTAATTTCCCAGTCTGAGATCAAAGAGACAAAGTAATAAAAAAAAAGAATAGATTTTAATGACTAAAATAAAGGTACAGATCTTGGAGAATGAAATTGTCTTAGTACATTTCGCACTCAAATTCTAAACCACCAAAATTTGGGGTAGTCTTGGGGTTGGTCTCCAATTAAAGGGCTAGCTTTGTGTTAAACGGTTGAAGATTGTTATTTGGGTGTTTGGAAAAGTGGTTTTCGAATTTGAGGGTCTCGGAATTAGAGGGTGCACTGTACACATAAAATATGGCCTCTTGTTTATTTTAAATTATTAAGTTGATGTCTCTATGTCACTAGCAGGACATAACAAAGAGTTCATCCTAGGAGGAGGTTATTTGGTTGATGTCACTAAGGAAAAGTCACAAAGAGGAAGTCAGTGAGGTGGACATCATTAAGAGGTTCCACAAAATCAACTGGTGGATGTCACTAAGAGGATGTCACCATCCTCCCACAATCTATTTCGGCCGAAGTTCCACTATATCTTCTCCTGCTTTTATCTTTGCTAGTACTTACCTGAAAATTTGGAATTTTGAATATTTTATGAAGTCTATGGTTTGGTTGTAACAATGCCTCCCATTCCAACAGATCTACCTTGCTGTCAATTAAGAATTAAAAAAAACAAACAAATTCTGTAAAATATATATTGTATACATTAAAGTACCCACAAAATTCTAACAAAAATTTGGTGCTTAATTTATTTGTGACATTATTTATTGAAATACAAAAGAAATAACAATAGAAATTATTTATTACAAAATACAATATTATACATAAATAAAAATGCTTATACACCTATAAGTTTAATCTAAAAAGCATACAATTGTACATAAAGGAAATTAAATGACACTGTAGATGACAATGTCTGAAGGACTATATTAAATCATCTTTTACGTTTCATGTACACATTAGTATGTTGAAGGTCGAGGCATACAATACATAGAAACATTTCTATGTTATTTTTACAGAAACATTTCTAAGTTATTACACAAGGAAACATGAAGGCTGATTGATTTTTGCATAATTAAATTAATAAACAAAATTTTAAGTAGTCTAAACCATTTATTTATTTATTTATTTCACCAATATCTTTACTTTTTACTTTGAATTTTTGTTTAACCAAATTCTTCATTGTTTCAAATGAAACTTTTAAGTTGTATATGAAATGCTGCAATATATACTATTTTATCTTTGAATAAAAAAAAAACCCAGAAAAAAAACAAATTATTGGATTCAGATGAAATGCATTCCAAAATATTCTTATCATAAATTAATCAATATTAGTATTAATTAATATAATTATTAATTAAACAAGAATTGTCATCTTACCCATCCATGTCATAATCCATCCAGGTGAACCAGTCACCTGAATTATCGCGGGTGATAATTCCCATTGCTTCCAGCTGTGCCTCAAACTGTTCTTTGGTTAACTTACGATCTTTCAGATTTCCCAGTGTTCCAGCAAATTGCACAAATAGTTGTCGAGTTTTAGTAAGCACCTCGGATAAATTCAACTACCGGTATATATAAGTAACAATGTATTATATAATATAAAGTATAAATATATTACAGGAAATATGAAACAGTTCAGCGGTCAAATAATTCATTAAATAGTTAGGAGTAAATCCTTTAAGGCATTTACTATGAAAGTATAGCAATACAAAGGGCAAATATATAAATAAAACACTACAGATTAAAAACCGGTATCAGTTGCATGATGCCTATGAGGAAAACCGGTATCAGTGGCATGATGCCTATGAGGTGGGGGAAGAGGTGGAGCCACAGGCCCCCTGTTGAAAGGCAGGCCTCACAGGGCTCCTACTATTTACTTAACATTCTACACAGAGCCTCAACACAATAAGATTGACATTTCCTATAATGCAGTATTTCATCCCTGAATATTCATTAATGTTTGAAGGTAGGAAGGGGATTCACTCAATTATCATCCCCTCTGTCATTTTCTTGACACATACATAGGGGGGCCCCCCCACACAACACTTCCTCACCTCTGAGTCCAGTGACTTGTTGCGCAATTGGAGTCCATCTTAAAGAAACAATACAGTACTAATATTACAGTATATGATATGACTGACTTACCAAAAGTTGAGGGCGTCCTAAGGCAGTTAGTTTTACTGCTGCGAAGCCATTTTCAGATGATGCACCTGAAATATTAAATAAATTTGACAAATATTACAATTTACATCTATTTGAGAATCTTCACATGACGATTTGTAATTTATCTCTAAAAAAAAACAATCAAATATATATTCATGAATGTTCAATCTGTAATATATATTTTTCTGGTTAATCTTGTTTTGAAAATAAATATTTGTAGCCAAAATACTAAATTGCTGAGTTGTATTCAATTGTACTACATATAGTACCTTAAAAAAATTAGTTTGTTATAATGTACATATTTTTATTTGTATAAATTTTATATTTATACAACAATTAATATAAATGAATAAGGATAAATATTAACTTCAAAGTGAGACTCGCTTCAAATACAAATTGGGTGAAGTAGAATGAAATTATGTTCTAAATATGGAATATCACTCTGCTTTGCAGTTGTTACATTAATTTAGTGCGATGTGTGCTTATTGAGAATTCAATTCTATACAGTACAAGTCTAAATAAACTGCTCCTACAGTAGTGGAATGTTCAAGCGTTTAAGGAAGGAGTGCTGCAACCTACAGCCATAGTATCAGCACTGGTTCAAATTGCACATTCGCTTATGGTTCTGGTGGTGGAACAATTCTTCTCGAATAAAACATAGGCCCAGTGTACACAATTTTGCTAATGTGCACTTTAAAAAACCCAATACATCTTTTGAGACGAGTAGGGGGTTATCTGGGTGTAGTGGTCCATACAACCCCTGTTGTGGACAGACGAGAGTAGCTGGTACCGGTTTACTGGGTAGCTCAGTCATGAAGAGACCCTTTAAAAGGGAGAAGCAAGTTAGTATACTAGCAAGACTAGCAAATCCACACCTCAAGAACTTTGAGACTTCGGTATAAAGCGCTATATAAATATAACTAATTTCATTACATTGGTTGAAAGGCACAAACTGTCTCACACAAACTCATGAGAAGTAGCATACTCAATAAATATATCATAATAAAAACTAACATTAAACAATTTAATGAATAATGAGTAAATTATACAGTGGCAGTAAGATTTGAGATCAATCAATCAATCCATCCATCACTTTTTAGCACAAAAAATATGGTATTTAAATTTTTTCTTCCAATCATACAGGTATGTTACTTGTGAATATAGTAACTATAGTTTTGCATAATAACCTTATTATCGATACATAATTTTCTGTTAATATACATTTCCTCTTAATTTATACAACATGACTATATAAATAATTTTGGTTTAGTATTCATTGAATTTTAAACTACTAGAAAATATGGTACCATACATTAAAACCATACGGTAATACAGAATTGCACTTTGTACTTCTTGGGGTTAGAAGCGTTTTATATCAACATGAAAATCTTAGGGAAAAGGAATTGATTCTGACCTTTAGAAACTGGTGCATTTCAATGCACCCCCAGATTAGTAATCTCATCAATCATTATGCCTAAATACTTATTTCATTATACATCGCAACGGACCTTAACTAAAGCGTTTCGATGTACAGTAGCCCCCAGATTACAATCTCATCAATCGTCATGCCTAAATACTTATTTCATTATATGTCAAGATGGAACCTAACTAAAGCATGATCATCAATTACAGAGTTCCTCAAGTCAGATGTGATCGCCTTCATTTTCTTTTCATTAAGTTCAAAGTATTGTCAAAGCTGGGAAGTAATTAATCGTGGATGGCATATAATTATCTAATACTAAAACGATCAACCGAAAATTAATTGAAAGTAAAGTAACCAAAAAAAATTTAAAAAAAGGACAGCAACTCCTAAATTCCTATGTCTACAACTGAGTTGAATTTATGTTATGTCAACTAATATCAATATGCTATAAACTTACAGAATTCCTTTATAAAAAATATGTTTAGTGTTAAGAAGAAACATCTTATATTAAAATATTTCTTATTTTTGTTATCTATCAACTATAGTATTCTGTCCCAGTGAAATAAGTTGTATATTCAATAATACCAGCTAACCAATCAATAAAAAATAATAAAATTTAATGTCAACAAAAAACTATGCTAGATAATACTTTTAAAATAATAATAAAGCTAACAATAATAATATAGTAATAAAAAATATTAATAACAAAAAGTAGCAACAATAATAAGAATAATAACAATAAAAAAAAAACAATAATAAATATAGGAATGACACCACAACAACAACAATAATAATAATAATAGTATCTTACCAGCAGATTCAACACATTGCAACAATGTAGCTAGGTTTTGATCACATTTATGTTCATCCGGATAAAAGTAATTCCTGTCATTTATTACCGGTACATCCTTAAGTCTGTCAACAAACTGGGGATAGGCTTTGAATTTCTTGTGGCGGGTGCAATAGAACTGGCTAATACTGAAATGCTCTACGGGAATTGCATTGAAAAGTAAAGGAACTAAAACAAATGAAATGAGACCCACCATTTAAACCCCTATCTGACCTGAGTTTAGGTCATGTACTGTATTGTAGGCCTAACATGTAATTGCAGGCACATACCGTAAAAACACTCTTAACTCTTAAATCCAAAAATATGTTATTCATTCATCATCAATTATTATTTTTTAAATTTTATTTCCATACCAACTAACAGAGATAAAAACCTCCAATTAGAAGTTATTAAATTTAAATAAATTAAATTAAATAAACATCCCAATAATAATAATAAACAAAAGTCAATATCAGTAATACAGAACTTATTATAGGTATAACACAAATGCTTAAATAGACCTCTAAGAGTAACAACATGTCCGAAGGTATTAGTAGAATAAACATTTAAAATACTAATAAGTTAGACTTATAAAGCGCTTCATACCAACAACGCCTCTAAGCGTTCACATTATTACCCCCATAGCATGAGATTAAGCACATATGGAACACATACTTAGCTCCTGAGGAGAAGTCCATAATATTGCAGCTAGACTGTAATCAGCGCATTCTATGTTTTAGCCTGCCAGATACCCACTTATATGGAGATACAACCGTAGGTGAAGTGTCTTGAGCCTCCGACCTCGAGCAGAACCAAACTGCGGTGCCAAACGGCTTTTAAATAGTTTTTGTTATCCTATTTTGTTCAGATTTAAGTTACTAATAAAATCTATTGTCTTTCTTGTTTTAGGCAACTTTGGCAGATAAACCTTTGCTTAAAATTTGTTGTCTGTGTCTGGAGATTTTTTATGACTTATATTCTTTAACCTGCACTGCCTGCAGTAAGGCCTAGGTATGTCAAATAACATCAATAAAAGCAATTAGAAAATCAATAATAATAATAATAATAATTAAATAACAATTTGATAATATATTTGAAATTGGTTATGTAATGTATATTATAATGTTTGATTAATTATGAGCATTAATTTAAAAAAAATAATAATGAGAATAATATATAAAAATTTTATTTTAAATGGATAATGATGATGAAGTAGATGAAGTAAAAAAAAAAATGTTGTGTTGCCCAAGCCAAATACTTCAAAAAAATTTGCAAGTGATTTGGGTGGGAATCGAACCCATGACCTCCAGATAACTAGCCTGGTGTCATAACCACTAGATAACTTATTTAATCAAAGCTTCAAAAGTGCTTTTTTGTACTCCTTTTTAGGGAGAAATACATTTTTACAAAAAAAAAAAAAAATTACTGTTAAGATTTTGGTCTGTTTTACTTTTGTTTGGGCAACACAAACCTTTTTTATGACTGAATAATAAAAACAATATTTTACCAGCAGCGTCTACACATTGCAACAATGTAGCCAGGTTTTGATCACATTTATGTTCATCTTGATAAAAGTAAGTCCTGGCACTGGAAACATCCTTACGTCTGTCGGCAAACTGGCGATAAGCTTTGAATTTCTTGTGGCGGGTGTCTGCGTATAAAAAAATTTAACATTTACAGTGCGAGTCTGTGGTAATACTTTAGCACAAAAATTGTTGAATCTGCAATTCTTTTCTGGCTCTTTATACCATTTTGGTGTCTTTATTATTTCTTTATTCAATTTCTGGTAAGCTCTTTCAATACAATTGACATACTGGCCTCACAAGAGGTTTTAATTTCATGTTTTTCTTCCTAAGTATTATAAATTATTATTATATAATATATCATAAATTTTAAATTGCTGTTTCACTGGGAATGGATTAACTAGTCTGTGAGCTACAGTGATTTTAATTGCTTTTGTTAATCCTTGCCTCCTCAGATTTACAGTTCTATTCTGTATTGTGAATTTTGTTTTTTTTTTTAGTTTTATTTACAAATTGTATTGTGATTTTTTATAATAGGCTAAATAAAGAATGAATGCATGAATGAATGAATGAATGAGGTCCAGATTTAGTAAATATAAGTACAAGAAAAATGAAAGAAATAATAAAAAGAGAAATAATAAAAAACCCCACAAATTACAATCAATCAATAATCAAAAAAAAAAAAAAAATTAAAAATATCAATCAATAATAAAATCAATAATAGCATTTATGAACATCTAGTGGATAAATACTTTTCTGCTGTAATTATTAAGTATTTGATGATTGGCTTCTAGTGTAATTTGGGTGGAGTGTGTCCATGAATTGGCATTGATTGGTCAATGTTGCAGACCTCTGTTGACATTTAAATATAATTTTCATATCATTTTCCCATAGTCATGAACACTTTACATTTTAGGCTTCTAATTTTCCCTCTTATCAGGAAAACAACATAAGCCAGGTAATCTTATCATTATAGGAAGAGCAAATCACAACTGATACAAGTTAGTGTCAAAAGTCACTGAACAATACTGTACTTCTCATCTCGCATATCTTTTTCATGCCACGTTGTACAGTACACCATGCTTTCTTCATACTTGATAAAAATTATCAGTAAACTGCTTCTGTTTACTTTGAACTTTATATTTTCCATGAAATGTTTATCACTAATTATTTATTTAAAACCTATAGGTACATACCTGGTTCACTGACTTCTTCTTCAGAGACACAAGATCTGAAATTAGTTGACAGACAGAATCACATTAGTAATATGGCTAAAGAAATTGTCCCCTTAATAGGGTGTCCCCTGAATAGGGGTTGGCTGTAGTTTAAAAAATATACTTTCCCTTGTTTCATGGTTAAAAAATGTCCCATTAATAGGGGTGTCCCTAAGGAGGGGGTTCTACTATTTTAGTATTGCCCATGGAAGCATACCAGTAAATGATCAAAATAAGTGCCATCATGATCCTAAAAAAAACTCAAGGCAACTTCAATAAAGAAAGCTGATCAAAAACATTTTTAAACCAAATATGACACAGAGAGAAAGAAAAGAGAAAGACATCTTACCCCATCTCAGCCTCCACAGCCTCACTGTGAGGTATGTCCTCCTCAACTCCATAGTCTAGAATAGCACCAACACCAAACTTCTCAAGTTTACTTATCATAGGCTGGATAGAGGGCTGGTCAGCCCCTGCAACAAAGTGACCATAGAAGGTAGCTTGCATTACCTTGTCAAATAGTCGCTTTCCTAGCACTCGTCTAGACAACTTCAATATCTGTTTACAGTACAATACAACTTTTTTAGTTCAAAATTTGACATAGTGGGAAAATAAAATAACTTTTTTGATTCACATGAACAGAGGAGAGTATTCAATTAACTGCTGAGTAATTTGTTATGTTTAGGAGCCTATTCGGGCATGAAATGTTATATGTGCACCCTTTTCAATAATTCTCCAGTACTCACTTTTCCAAAACTGGTGTAAAAATTGGACAATTTCCTTACCGCATACATTATCTGAGAGAATTTTTGACTAGAAAAGTGAACTTTAGACTTAGAGGCAATAACAGCTAAATATTAGAATTGCATTTTTTTCCTAGGTGTGATGGGATGTACTGTAGCCCCTGGGACAATTAGGACAATTTTAAAGTCTTACTCCCAGCTGGGGATGTGGGGATATTCCAACAACCCTGTCATTTGTGAGTGTGGAACTGAGCCTCAGATCATGCAACACCTCATGCAGTGTTGTATGTTAGATGAACCATGCACCAATACAAACCTTGCAAAATACAACAAAAAGTATATATAGTACAGGGCTAAATTATCAAAATCAATTCTACTGTAAATAGCTGAAAAATATGTGGTCCAAACCTTTGGCAGCTCCTCAATCCATAGCTGGGAATTATGATCTTACCTGACAACTAGAGTCAAATTATATATTACCCCAAACATCTAATTTTACCCTGCCTTCCAACCCCACCCGTTAATTCATCAATCCTGGTGTTCTGAGAGGTTAACAGAATTGTTTTCTACAAAAAATGTTTGACCTAAAATGTATGTGATTGAAAAAAACAAAATTTCAACTAACTGCTTTATTTTGGAAACATTTCTGGAAAAAAATAATTGTATTTTGAACTGTTTGTCAACAGTGACTTCTGTTTGACAAAGGTCAAACAACAGCAGTTTTGTGGATTATGCGGATGATCTGAGTTACAGTAACTCTGCAGTGATGTGGAGTTAAATTTATATATCATCGGAGTTACTGATCCGTTATCCAGAGTTACTGAGACTTTGTGGCCCACAAAAGGGAATTAAAAACCCTATGTGTGCGGCCCACCAACCACCTTTGGCTAGAAAACACCTTGTTTTATACGGCCCGACATCAAAAATTTGTAAAAATATATTAAAAAACTGAGAATGATTTGGTATAAAAGCAGTGCATAAAGGCCCTCCGACCAATTTTTATGCCCATTCCTGGTTTACACGGCCAGTTAACACCAATATCATCAGATAAACGCCTTCATCATGATGATCTGCCATGTAAATGTGGCTTATGTTCATCCAATCAATTATTAATTGGCCTCCATTTTGTTTCTATTTTATGACTTTTAATAATTATGAAATCTTAACATTTCACATTCATTTTTTTTTTTTAAAGCAACTAGTGTTTCTTTATCTAATTATTCATTGTATGATTTTGCTTTACGAAAAACATGTTATTAATTACATGATTGTAATTTGAATATTATTTTGTGTGTGGAGAAACCTATGTACACTATATAAAGAAATAAAAGGATTTAATGTACTGTATCTCCCCTTCCCTCACTCCGTGCACAATTATGTTAGTTTTTTTTTATTATTACATTTATTATAATTACTATTAAACATTATTATACTAAATTGCTGTAATTGTTGTTATTGCAATTTTTTAACATGAATGATGTTTTTTGTCCTATCTGATGTGTTTTTGTACCAAACACTTAGTACGTTCCCAAATACTTCAAAAAAAAAATTGCAAGTGATTCGGGTGGGAATCGAACCAACAACCTCCAGAAACTAGCATGGCACTATAACTACTAGGTTACAATTTTTATTGTTATCAAACCCATTATTATTTTACCTCAGTTATATCAATTTAGATCATGTTTAGTTATTTATTCTGTTCATCCACTCCATTATTATTAATAATTATAATTATTATTTAATTATTTAATACTTAGTTTAAAAGTGTCACCTACTGTAGGCCAACTCAGACAGCGTCGTACGATGCAGCCCGCCGCGATTCATCATCGGGGACTGCAGTCTTGAGCCATTGTGAGAAATATTAAGCTTTTATTGTAAGCAAATTGTACATTTTGTCATTTTCATTTGCTTTTTTTTTTTTTGTCTCCACCAATGGGAAGTCCTACATACAGCAGTATTAACTCTAATAATAAAGCATCCGGTGCGTTAACGTACCTCTCAAGCGGGCTCTCTATTTCTAAATTGGCTAGCCTAGCCCAGGCCTAGGCCCTACAAACAACCAACAACAGGTTGAATTTCCATTCTAGGCCTAGGCTAGGCTAGGCGTGATTCGGTTTATTCTAGGCTAGGGGTTCAATGTTGAATAAGAACAACTAACCTCTTTGTTGTTATTAACAAGAAAATCAAACTGACATAATTTAAAAACAGATACAGCTCGCAAGATATCTACAAACGATTTGCTTCTGTAGGCCTCCAATGGGCTGTCGAATTTCAGGTTTACTTTATCAAAAGGTGTCGCCGACTTGGTGGACGCCGATACTTCTTCGGAGATATCGGCTGCCAGCTTCGTCACTGGGGCTGAAGATTTTGATCGGAAAAACAGCTGAGTTTGTTTCGTCCATCTTGCCGATTTTAACATTTTAACTATTTATACTGTAGACCTGAAGTAGGCCTATGCGTACTAACTGCTGGTATATTCTGGAAAAAAAGGTATCAGTTAAAAAGGCAGGTAAAGGTTAGGCGTCATTTGACGACAGCAGCTTGATCAACTGTTCTTCACTACAAAAATGCATGCACGTGAAAAACCGGCCCAAACCCGATCCGTCAACAAACGGACTGACTGAGATACTCTGTTGTGTAGCTACTACAAAATAAAATAGTAAACATAATCTGCAAACCATTGATCATATTTATTATGTAATTACCAGTCATATTAATTGAAATTGGTTGGGGGTTATATTTAAATGAGGACATGTACTGGTATAATCTCGGGTATAAATTAATATTATAATGGTTGCGGGCAATAACGCCAGGTGGTGGATATTTCAGATTAGAAACCGAGTGGAATGCTGGTGGTATCTTCCAATTGAATAGGCCTAAATTGTATTTTTTATCGTATTTTTTTTTACAACTCATTGTAAATATTAATTGAAAAAATAAAGAAACGATATCTAAACGTCAAATAAAAACAGAAGTGGAGTGGAGTTGAATAGTTCAGTGGTTAAGATGTTTGCCTTCTGATTCCAGGTTCAATTCCTGTCACAACAGGAATTTTTCTAACGATTAACAACAAAAAAATAAAAATAAAGTAATAATAATTCCACTCTCGAAAGCCTCATAAAGATGCTTAGTTTATAAAGAATCATTATCATCCTGTATGTGAGGGAAATACAACAAAAAATACGTTATTCTCGAAGACTGCTTTGAAGTTGTCGATGTCGGGTAGAGTTTTCTTTTCAATTGGCTACACAATTCTAGGTTTCAGAGCTTTGGTCGATTGGTAACCACGAGTTATCAAAATGATCGTACTGTAGTGGCACAGAAATTATAATCAATTTAGTATTACGTAATTATAGGCTCCTTCTTGGTAAGAACATTGTAAAAATATAGGCCCTACATGATTTCATATTGCAAATCACTAAAAAAAAAAAGACGCCTACAGATTGTTCAGATATAAGAGTCGGCCTTGGGCAAGACAGAGTACTGTTGACCGGATTGCATCCACCCACACAATAAACATGGGCTTTGGAGAACGTATATATATTTTAATCTCAGTTTCTTTATTTTGGTTTGCTCCATGAGATGCACGGTCACATTGCATTTCTTTCACCGTGTTTGGAATAATTGACACGCCCCTATGAGCTAGTACTGTGATTGGTCAAAGCGGGAGGTGTGTCGCGGGCATAAATCGGGCTGATTTACTGTATGCATAGCTTTCACACGATAAAGAATGATTACAACCCGGAACCATGGTTATAGATTTGCATATTGCGAATACACAGGATACAGGACATTGGCAGTCGGTTAATAAATGTGACTACCAGATGCCGATGATGCAATAATTGAGTGCCTAATTCACAGTAGGCCTAGTGTATTCTCAAATTATATATGTATTGGATACAGCAGCACACGTTCATTAATGGTGCATCCAAAAATGTTACCACTAAATTATTATAAAATAATAATAATTATTATTAAATTATTATTATTATTATTATTATTATTATTATTATTATTATTATTATTATTATTATATTACCACTTCGAAGGAGTTAACATTTGAACAACTCTACATAATATTTCAATTGAAAAAGGATTAAATGTGTTATCCATTTCTAGTGAGACACGATGCAGATCGAAACAATAAACTTTTTTTCCTTACTACTAACAACATATTGATTAGCAGGAAAATTTATGGGTCTACTCTATACGAATAAATACAGGAGTTGCATTTTTCATGCGTCTGTTAAATTCTATAAAAAATAATACTGTATACGGTAATCTTTTCAGTTGAAAGCTAATCAATAGCTTAATACTACTGTATTACCATGTGGAGAAATAAGTTTAGACCTTCCTCCATAATATTACTTAGGGTTTAAGGGACAACCACAACTTTATTCAAAATAGCAAAAAAAAAAAAAAAAAAAAAAAAAAAAAAAAAAAAAGTAAACGGTTTGAAATTCAAACTATATTAAATGGACAGCCGATAATCTGCTCGACAGTTGTTTGCAAAGATTCAAAATAAAACGAAAGGTCCTATGTGACGTGCCGGACAAAAATAATAATCTTGGTCAATATTGCCCGCGACTTGATGATCTCATTAACCATCCAGTGCAGCAATGACTTCCAAAAAAGGCATTTTTTTTAGCAAAGACACATACAGTCACGTTTCATAATATATAATTATTTTGACAGTAACTTAATGATTTCAATTGTCTCAATTTATTTTAACCTCCTTGCTCGGCATTAAACCTCACAGGAAAATAATTATAGGCATTCGACCGACTTCGATTTTTTTTGTTTATTGTCTATTTGTTTATATTGTGTTTAGGATGCTACGCAGTAAATTTCATTTGAATATCGTTAATTTCTCAGTTTGACATACAGGCTTGTTTTTAGTTTAATATCCCTCGGCTGTGTGTGTTCTTTAATCTTGTACTGAGC